ACGTAACGGGAACGTAACGTGTTGTTCTAATTTCGTTTGCGTTACGTTCTCGAGTGTCAGAAAATGATTAAGTACAAGCGCCCACAACGGGACCGTAACTGAAACAAAACCACGTCAATCCGTCTGTCACTGGGCAACCATAATATTATAACTATCCAATAAAATTTGTTAAGTCATTTCACGTCCGGAATCTGAATTAGTAGTTAGTTCCCAGACATTTGACATAGCTACCACTATTTCCATCCACTCTGCTGAGGCCCCAGGCCTGTTTGCCGAATCCTCTTTCAGCAAATCAATGTCATGCGTTTTCAGTGGGTATAAATATCAGCTAAAATGCATCCAATATTTCTTATTTTATCATAAATATACAAAAATCAATCTAATATAAAACGTGTTATCAATGTCAGTGAAAATTAATCAAAATTGACAGCGAGAAAAGCTCTCGGAAATCAACTACGAGACAGTCTCCTTCATTACGTTCAAAACGAATGCCGTACGACCAGGCAACCGATGACGTCATTGGTTCTCGCGGAGGTCATGCACAAAGCAGTGACGTATCCGGTCTCGTTCCGTTCTCGTATGCGCATCTTAATGTCTCTATTGACTCGTCTTGTTTACATTTAGATTAACTTAAACTTTTATTTTTGAAAATAATTTAATTTAATTTAAATAACTGACAATAGAGCTCTATCAGTTATTCAATAACTTTTATTTTTGGCAATACAAAACAATTTCTATACAGCGCATGGTTCATCCGTATATTTCTTTTTCTTCCCACTTTCACTGCATAGTACATACAGCAGCCAACAGCAGCATTAAAATAACAAGTTTTCAACTACATAGGATCAAGGAGGGGTACTCACCTGGACGTTCGGTGGAGTTCCAACTCGTACCTGACAAAAAATATCGACATTGAGGGCGCTCTTGACTAAACAAAATGACCAAAAATAGAATTCACCAAAACAAATGAGGAACGGCTTGACCGTGAAAATGGGTGTCAAAACAGCGGTGTATAACCGTATATTTCAACCGTTGGAGTTCCCCCGGATTGCGTCTTTAATACATTTATACTGCTTCATTTTTGACTCCCAAGTGCGAAGCACATAATGGGAGTCTTTGCAGTTAGTGTGTCTGTGTGTATGTGTGTATGTGTGTATGTATGTATGTGTGTCCGACTGTTCCACTGCTATCTCAAGAACCATACATCGGTTTTTGATGAAACTTGGTGCATAGATGCTCTGGGCCAATGCACAGATTTGATTAGGTTTTGGTAAAAATCCATGCTCGTTAATTACCTAATTTGCATGATAATTAGCTAATTTTTAGCTGTTCTATGACTGTTCCACTGATATCTAAAGAACCACTCATTGGATTTTGATGAAACTTGGTACATAGATGCTCTGAACATATGCGCAGATTTGATTAGTTTTTGGTCAAAATCCGTGCATATTAATTACCTAATTTGCATGATAATTAGCTGATTTTTAGCTGTTCCATGATTGTTCAACTGATATCTAAACAACCACTCATTGGATTTTGATGAAACTTTGTACATACATGCTCTGAACTAATGCTAGGTTTTGATTAGTTTTTGGTAATAATCCGTGAATACTAATTACCTAATTTGCATAATGATTAGT